TTTAGGAGCCATCAAAGACAGACAATGCAACATGAAACTGTTAAAAATATTCATTCCTTTTGGCACAAGTCCCTTTTTGCATTCTGTCTCATCTTTTTAAGATGACTTTTTCCATCTCTACCATTTATGGGAGCTTGAGGCTGCAGCATGCAATGTTTCTTTAAAAAACAAAAAGGAAAACTAATCTATTCTAACCCAAAGAACACAGTATCTTTAGTGCTAGAAGGAATGGTTAAGATTTCTGTTCTGCATTAAAAGTATCATCAGGGTCATTTATAAAAGCTTGTGTTTTTTTTATTTTTAAGAAAGATCCCTCCTTCTGGTCCCTCTGGTTCTCTCTCTGGTGCCTGTTTAGTAACTTTTATATTTATAATGGCTTAATTTGACATATCCATGGCCAACTGGATTGTTGCACTCATAATATTTTTTTAAATTTGTATTAGCACAGCCTACTTGGAAAAGTTTTCCATTAACTAGTTTAAATCTCAGGCGCGCCTCTGTGATCATCCAGAGGACAAGGGAAAAATGACCTGACATTTCTGTCCAGTGTTCGCAGAAGACAAACATAGAGGAAAAACCTGCTCTGAAGCATACAGCTGTAGAGCAGGAGTGCATGAAAATAAACATTGCTCAGCTATTTTATGGAGAAAACGGATTTAATCTGTTTAATAGCATGCACTAATGCTGTAGAGTTAAATGTATTTTTGTTAAGCTAAGTTTAAACTCTGATGTCTACTGCCTGGCAGTAACTTGAACCTGTTATTATCCTGCCCTTTCACAGTCATCAAAAGGGTGCGGATTTGGCTCCACGCTGACGCCTGCACCTTAGCAAAGCAGAACGGCTGGTGGTGCTGAAGTACAATGCCAAAGGAAGAATAGATGTTACAAACCTGCCTCGCCTCGTTCTTCCCGACAGACTACCTCGCGCAAAGGCGTAAAGGCAGGAACAAGGCGCTGAGGTCGACAATGTCTCAGGCCTCCGTATACATTTGCTGGTAAAGGCAGAAGTTCTGCCTGTAAAGATTTTATGGCTCCACAAACTATAAACCAGGGTAGATATTGGATGCATTACATGCAAAATTACTGTTTCAGTTTTGAAAGGCTGTTTCAGATTTGAGGCATCCTCGCTGAAACAGTTTGTCAGCCTTTCTCAGAGTCTGATGTTCAGTTAATTTTCTTCATGTTTCTGCTCCTGCCCCAAACTTCATTCTTCAGTACTTACACTTTCTCTGGCCTAACTCCCCCTGCTCAACAAGCCACACAAACCCACCTCTTAACTTAAACCCAGTTTCTTTGCTGAAAATCATTCAATCTCTTCTCATCTCAGCCCCAGTCCCCCTTGTCCAGGAAATTTCCTTCATCCTTCTTCTTGTCCCAGTTCTCAAAACCCCATGTTTCAGCCCTGACCTGACTTTCCAGGCAGCTTCCACATAACTCAGGTCATTTCCTCCTTCACACTGCCAGAGTGATAAAATGCCTCCTGGCTTTGCCAAATCTCAACCTCGCCAGACTACAAGGTCCAAAAGATCTGACCGTGCCCCTTTTCTCCCTGGCCACGGAGTTGGAGATGTTCAAAGACAGGTAACGTAGGTAAATTTTGGTGAATCTTAACTGGGGGATCAGTAAAGAGACGCCCTCGTCCCAAAGCTGACCTTCTGCAAGGCTTTCACTCTGACGGCCTTAGAGGAGAAGAAGAGCAGCAAACCGTTTTCAAAGGAAAGGTCACCAGGAGTTTAACATGAGCAAAATGACATCTCCTCCTAGCTTTATTTACAGAACCAGATGAACCATTTCAACTAACATTTTCAAAGCCCAGCATGGGAAGTTTTAGCACGAATAGCTAAATTGACAAAATTATAAAAAACTGAGGGCAGGTTAATTTCCTGGGGAACGCTGAGGGGAAGAAGAGCCATGCACCAACTCTGTGTCAGGGAACTTTTCCCCTTTAAACTAACACTGGCAGCTGTGGGGCAGCCAGTCTGCAGTCCAAATGGTCACTATATTTCTTTTTAATGAGAGTTTGGACCTGCTTCAAGCCTAGTGCTAAAATTAGATCTTTTACTAGCTTTTTAATTTTCCCGTTCAAAGGCTAGTAGTTTTTAGAAACCACGTAAGCCACTACTGAAGGTTACAGTCCGGACCATCGTTCTGAGTCTAAGACATCCAACAGAAGCTGTTTTGCATTTCGTAGGAAGCCAGATGAGCTCAAAGAGGCAAAAGTTCACATCAATCTCATGCTGCTAACGGGGAAAATACAGCCCTACTTTTTACGAAAGCCCAGGGCATAAGAAGGATGAATACCTGGACACAGAGCTTTGGCTCTAACCGCAGCGCACGGTAGTTTAGATGATGTGCCTTTTCTAAGACACCTCTCTCTACAGGAGTCTAGTTATTCCAAAGACATAAACAACATGCCAGCCTGACTGATGTGATTCATCGCTGCTTTCTTTGATGAGATCACCACATGCTATTGCAGAGCAGAAGAAGCCTCAGTGCCTGAGCCCGAATTTTATGGTTCAAGAATCAACAATGTTTTCGCTCAGGAAATTTATAGTCTTTGCCAACCCCAAACTGGAACGGAGACACATCAGTCACATGTTGCAACCCTTCCAGCAAACTCAGTTCCACATCCACTATTTCAGTTTCTTTTCTGGTCATGTCAGTTTGCAAGTAGACATAGGAAAAAGGTTAAAAGTCAAAAACAGGCAAGGTGTATCAATAAGTTAAATTCAAATTTTCTTGAAATAAGTAGCAGACTCAGAGTGCCAGCTCAGATCACATAAGACTACATACTTAAAAATGTCTGGCTTAGAAAAATTACCGTTATTCATTTTCCACCCCTGCCCCTCAGAGTAGGTTTTTTTAGGGCATTCAAAAGGCAACATTGCACTAGTAAGTGCTCTACCCTTTCAGTCATTCCATTTTACTTTTCACATCAAATATGTTAACTTGCCTTTTAAACCAATGCAGAGGCCCTCCTGAAATTTTTATACATGTGCTTTTTATATACTGGTTTTTCTTTTACTTACACTTCCAGTTACTGATTACGTTTCAGGGTCAAGAGGAACCACATGAGGAAAATAAAGTTTTAAAGAGACAGATAGGCAAGGTCATAATCTACAACAAATACTTTTCTTTTCCTTTTGTTAATATAGTCATCCACCTACCTGATGTGCGGATGTGCTCATTCACCCACCTACCTTCCAAGAACAGTTTTACAAGTATTTAATCTTTTCTTTTTCACCAGAAGTTAATCAATTAGTGCAAATGACGATGCATGTTCATCAGTTACCAATATATTGCTTTATTTCTTGGTAGCAAATTAAGGCTTTATAGTGAGATTTGTACAGTACAGGCCAATTTAAACATTAGAAACCTTAAAAACCACGTAGCACTATTCACTCAATTTAGCATAGCCAGAAAAGTAGCTTTTTTTTTTTTTAATAAACAGTTAAATGTTACTAATGAGGCCTTATATTTCATGAGTGCAAATGGCTCAAAATCCCACCGTCCTCAGGAATGGGCTTAACATTTAACTGTCCTTGGGGCCATTTTGAGATAAAGGAAAAACAGAGAGTATAGCTGTCTCAGATAAAATACACTGTACTACTTGCTGGAGAAGAATCTCTAATTTTAAAAATACAGAAAGGAAAATCAAAGTGATATTAACTGGCCAAAGGATGGTATCACCCCATATTAGTGACTGACCAGTAATAGTGGCAATGCCATATTCATTTTCCATGGCCCTCTTTGCTTTAGTACAATCTGATTTCTAATTCAGAGCTGATGACATCCTGTATGTTAAGAAACTCACAACTGGAGGAACATATATAAGTTACAGGAATTTTTGCAGCAGTAGGACAAGTTCCCTTGGCAGGGACATGTCCAAATCATTGCTTTTTTGTAATTTGAGAGAGCATTGCTACAAGTATTTCCTCAGCAGTTATGTATTTTTCTCGAGCATATGGATTTTCACTTCATATCAATGATTTTATTAGTGTTGTCTGGAGATGATGGAACTACTGCTTATGAAAACCAGACACGGTGCTTCCCTTCTTATGTTCTCTACCGAGACATTTCTAGTGTTTGAGCTGAACGTATGAATTCACCTGTCAGTCAGGCGCAGGGGGCCTGCCTGAAAATATCATCACCCCTAACATGTCTGGCTTTCAGATCTGAGCATTACATGTAAAAACATGCAGAGAAATGGCTGCCAGAAAGCTGTGAAGAAAGTAACCATGAAATGACCACACGCTCTGGGGAAGGAGGCAATGAAACGGGGCGGGGACACGTCCAAACCACACTTGCTCTTGCATGAGCAAGAGTGACCATGAGAGTACAAGGGGCTCCCAGTGTCACAGGGCAACACTGGCGTTTTAATTCCTTGTTGAACAGCAGCTGTTTCTCCAGCCTAAGGGAACACACGCAGGCAAGGTGACACAAAATCTAAATCTCACATAAATAACGCTTTAAGCCCCTCTGTCGCCAGGGATGTTATCTAACATCAGGCTAACGTCTTTGAAGTCTTGAGATCACCCATCTATCCTTTCAACTGGAAGGCTGCAGAAAAGGGTCAGGTTTCTACGTGTATTAAGGCACATACTGAATTTACCTCAACGCACGTGCCTGGTTTGCTCAGGGAGTGTCAACTGCAGTGGTGTCATGGCTGCTGAAGAGATACAGCAAAGGAACAATGACAGACTTTCTGGTGACAGCCACGCAGCACAGCAATTGGGACTGTCCCGTGCAAGCTGCTCCACAACGCCTCAGAGAGTCCCCTGCGTACTGCAGTGCTATCTCAGCGTGTTGCAGAATTACAGCAACTTCTCAGGCTGATTTGCTGGCTTTCCCCTTTGCCAGGACACCAATATATCATCTGCTTTCCTCCACTCAGGTAAATATGTCACCGCTTATGAGACCCAGAAGTCCCTATTTGCTACCAGAGGGTGGTACTACACATGCAGGAGAGGGCAGATGTAGAAATGAAGGCAAGTAGTGATGATGCACAAGTGACCTGGAGGTGGGCTTTCCAAGAGAATCCATGCATGGACAGAATTTCCAGATTCACTCAGCAGAGTGCTTGGCAATGGCCAGCAGATCTTATTCTGCCTCAATCAAGTATGTTTAAGAACATTACCCAGTATTTCCTGAGGGACTACAATGCTTGAATACCAAAGAGAAAGTACTTGGAGACAAGGGAATGCTTTATCAGCCATATTGGAAGAAGTTGGGGGAACACAGACACATATTGCATAGTCAGCTTCATGAGCACAGCTGGAATTCAGATGTATTTGACACAGCTTAGTAGCATTTCCAAAGGAGGGATTATGTGCTATTTCCTTTGGAGGTAGCTACTGTAGCCTGGGACAAGATCACGGCTATTATGGAAATGGCACCCCACCGGGGATGCTGAGCACTCATTGCTTTCGCATTAAGGCAGCCTCTGCATGGAGACCCACCACACCTTAAAAAGTGATCATACAAAAAGCAAACAAAATAGTCCTCTAGAAACCCCCCTCACCCACAACATACAAGAAAAGCTGACTCCCGTGAGCTATAGAAAAGACAGCATTACTGAATATGGGAGCGTGTGTTTATACATCAGTGTTTTTAATACTGCATTGTAACGACAGGTGCGGGGTGTCCTTTCAGAAGAAGGCAGGGTTGGTGTGCTCTATAATACAGCGCTTGCAATGTCGTTTAACAAATCGCAGAGCATCCACAGAGACGTCGCAGTCCTGCACATTCAACATCTGCAGGTCAAAACAGTTGGCAGCTACAATCTGCAGGCCCTGCCCAGTGATGCTCTCACATGATTTCAGGCTCAGGCGCTTCAGGTTGAAGCAGTTGAGGGCTAGAAACTCCAGGCCGGTGTCTGAGACCAGAGGGCACTTGCCAATATCTAGCGATTTAAGTTTTGTGCAATTTTTGGCGAGGTACTCCACACCGTGGTCCGTGATGCCCTCGCAGCCCCGCGCGTTGAGGTAGCGCAGCTTGCTGCAGTATTTGGCTATGTAACGGATGCCCACGTCTGTGATCCGGCCGCAGTGAGCGATGCTAAGGTATCGGAGGCGCGACTCCAGCTTGGCTATCTCCCGCATGCCGAAGTCACTGACAAAGCGACAGTCGCTCACGCTCAGTTCCTTAATGGACGTGCAGTAAATCATCAGGTAGCGGAGACCCTCGTCGGTGATGCGGACACAGCGGCGCAGGTACAGGTGGGTGAGTTGAGTGCAGTGAGCGGCAATGGTGTGCAGTCCTTCGTCCTCCAGGACGAAGCAGTCTGTCATGTCCAAGTAGCGAATGGAGATTTGTTTCCCGTGTAAGGGAGACAGCTTGATGGAGGCTTCGCGAGTCAAACTGATGCATGTTACTTTGGAGCAGCCTAAGTGGAAAAACACAGCAAATTTAAGCAAGCAGTAAAAACAAATCACACAGCAGGACCAGAAAGGTGGGCACGAAATGACGTGCTGGATGTGCTGAAGATATCTTCATTTTGCAAGAGCAGAATCATCCTGACTGACCAGTCTGGATTTGCTGTGATGTGTCCCAATGCTAGAGGAAATAACAAACTCCACTGGTGTCAGTGAGGTTGCTTTAGGATTTTGAGCACCAGTAAAGCGACAGACCGATTCTGTCCATATCCAAAATGTTACATGATGGTCCTAGGTGTATCTAGGGACGGTCTGTGATCTGTTACTGCAATATAAACCCATGACAATTTGAGTAAAATGGTGCTACATGACAACCAACAGAGCTTTTTGATCAGAGGCAGTCTCATTGCTGACTGGCTGAGTTTGTAAACCAACATCAGAGCCTCTTTCACCATCCAACCCCATTATAAAAAAGACAAACCCCACCCACCCTTCAAAAAGCATTTGGAGAACAGATGTGAATCCAGCCCCAAGCCTGCAAATGTGGGAAGGATGCAAAACTATGGCAAGACTATGTGCTTGCAGAAGGGTGGAGATTCGGGTAACCTAAGGAGAATGGGGAGGGTCAGCAGGAGCCAACAGACTGGTACGGGCATGGGAGGACATGGACAGACGCAGAAAAGGACTGTTTCAAGTGAGAATGTCTGGCCATGAATGGAGGTAACTACACGAGAGGAGAAACACCAGACCTTGCAAGGAAATATAAAGAGCTAGATTAAAGGGAAAAACGCGCTCACAGACTTCCCCCATTTTTAACCTCCACTCTGTGCGTGGTGGTGAATAAAAACTAAAGCTTTTTTTGGAAAGTGCTGTTTCTGCTGCACTGCAAACCAGCAGTCTCAGGCTCCTGAAGGGAAATTCTTATCTGTGCCAAGTCCAGATGGGCACATTGCTTTAGCATAGCTAGAAACAGCTGCAAGGAAGAAGGGAGGGTCTACCTGTTAGCGATCAAGGCCCAACAGTTTTAGCCATAAACGTCTACTCAGACAAATTCTGCAGCTTATGCCTAAACAGGTGCCCTCAGGTACCGATATAAAGAGATTTTCTGTATTGCTGAAACACTGGCCAAAGGGAATGAAGTGACCCATGAAAAGCCAGAAAGGTTAGGATGGTGACCTTAGAGCTCCATGTATTAGAAATGCTGCACAAATCCTGTAGTCTGGAAGTAAAGAGCATGGCAATGTATGGACACCACCTCGAAAACTTGAATAACCCAAACCCATACCACTTGATACAACAGGTTCTTATTCAGAGGCTTCATGGAAGGTATGAATATATTTCAGTTCTTAAAAACAAAAAGGAAAAAAATCCCTTGAGATAATCCAGTGGGCTCACACAAATGCTATAACAAGCATGGGATATGGACTTGAAACAGTTTGCCACCTGCAATTAGATTTTTACATTCATCATTTGAATTTGCAGCTGGATTTTTAATTTAGGCTTCAAAGTTATTTGAACAGATGCAAATTTACCTTAGGCCTCACATAATGAAATGGGCAAATTGTCCACAGGTCATGCAGAAGCTCTGGGACCTTCAAGCAAACCACTGTGTTCAACAAACATCATCTTCTTAAAACTGAATGCTGCTATTTCCTCTTCAGACTGTGTTGCAGATCTGTCTATGTTACGGTGCAATCTTTGGAAATACATTTGCCTTCAAATAAGTGCTACATACACGCCCAATAATGCAAAGTGATTTTTCTAAAGGTAGGCAGTAAAATATTAATAGTGTAATAATTTCACTTCTAATACGTTTTTTGGAGTAGGTGATACAAAATGCACCACAGGAGTCCCCATCCTTGAGCTGGGTTTCCACAGAAGAAGCTGGCACCTAGGCAGAGTTCTGCTGGACCTGACATAGCTGTCGCTATTGCGTTTGGCTGAGGAGGTTGCTGGATTAAGGAGTCAGTCTGGATATTTTACATGCTGACCAGAATTCAATTTTAAAATCTGGCTAAGTGAGAATGAAGGGTCCATGAAGCTGAGGAGAACATCCTGTCTGCTAGGGATCCAAGAAGTGGGAACGCTTTAATGACTGCAATTAAAAAGTGAATGGATCAGAAGTCTCGCAGCAGGGTTGGAGTCACATACATCAGTGTGTGATCACTGTTTTGACAAGCTCAGCATCGCCTTGTCTAGTTACTTTGGCTACACTGTAAAATATTTCATGGGAAGGACATTCAAAATGGTTTCACCAGAAAAAGAGTCCATGTTGCTATAGAACTGACTGATTTTCAGGCAAAATGACAAGTTCCTGGGTCTGCAACAATTTTTCTGTCCTAAATAATAAAAAAAAGTAAAAACAAAGCTCTTGTAACAGGTTTTCCATAAAGTAAGTACAACTGATTTTTAAAAGGGAGAACAAACTTCCAAACAGATCGAAAAAAAATACTGGCTAGCCTGTTAGATAATAACTTGCAGTCAAGCTCAACCAGCTTCTAGAGATATCTCAGACCTGCCCACAAAGTGGATGCTGAGAGTGACAGAACTTACATTGTGGAAAACTCTTAAAGTTAATATGAACATCTGGTTTTGACATTAAAGATTTTGGTACGTTATTGCTGCCAAGTAACCATCCAAGAGGGAGAGGGATTCAACTAGATGTACAACTGTGAGCTGGGTTTTAATTAACTAGCTACAAGTATAGTGTTATCCCACAGCACATGTACCCAGCTTCTCAGTGTGAAACTAAATCAGTGAACCACTTCAGTCCTAAGCATTTCTTGAGTGTGTAGGTTCAAGCCTTGTCCTCCTAACTACAGACTGAAGGAGGTAAAAATGGAATCCTGCTTCCAAAACATCCTCCAAAATTACCCACATCAAAATGAAAAAAGTGGACTCAAAACAAGACCCCAATGATCAATTATCCTCAATTCATTTGCAAGCTGTCCTGGTTTTGGATGCGATAGAGTTAATTTTCTTTCTAGTAGCTGGTATAGTGCTGTGTTTTGGATTTAGTATGAGACAAATGTTGATATCACACTGATGTTTTTAGTTGTTGCTAGGTAGTTGCAGTGTTTATACTAATTCAAGGACTTTTCAGCTTCTAATGCCCTGCCAGGTGCACAAGAAGCTGGGACAGCACAGCCAGGACAGCTGACCCAGGCTGGCCACAGGGATATTCCCTACCATAGAACGTCATTCTCCATACTTTTCCTTTTGCATGTGGTGAGCAATTGCATTTGTGCACCAGTTGTATTATTGTTATTCTTGCTATTCTTGTTATTCTTGTTATTATTCTCTTCCTTTGTTATCCTATTAAACTGTCTTTATCTCAACCCATGAGGTTTTTTCCATTCCCCTCTCCATACCCTTGCAGGGGTAAGGGTGAGCGAGTGGCTGCATGATGCTCGGTTACCAGCTGGTGTTAAACCATGACACAGGCACAGGCAGCAAAAAGCCATGTCTGAACCCAAACACTCTGACTGCTGAGCATGTTCAAACCCAGGATTTTTCCCTTACCTGCTCTAAAAAGAAAGGACAACTTAGAAAAATATGAGATTAAAATTACTTTCCTGTTCTGTTGATGAGACAAAATTCAAGGAAGACAGGTATTTCACTCGCCCTCTACATACTTTGGACCAAACTGATGAGCTCCTAGGGACAGACACCATCTTCTAGGTCTGAAGGTAACAGGCCTGGGGAAACCATAAATGAAGACAGACCCCAAAAGAACCTGTTTCACAACCTGGTATCATCTTTTCATTTTCTTCGCTTTTGAAAAAGTTGCCTTCGGTCTATAGCATATCTATCAGTAGAAGCTGTGGACCAAAGCATTTTCAGTCACCTACAAGCCCCCAGGTGCGCTTAGGGTGGCACCTACCAGACTGGTATGCCAAGGCAGTTCACCCTCAGCTCAGCAATTCTACTTGTCCTGTCTCTCCAGGCCCAGGATACTTGAGCCACTCAACTCTCTGCACCACCCTAGAGGACATAGTAAGAAAAGCATAAATATGCCAGGGATACAGCCAGCCTTCAAAGTGATATATAGCTCTAGGTCTAAATCATACAGGCACATGCATTTTCTCCTGGTATTGGAGATGCTTCAACCTGAATGTGTGGTTAGCAATCCAGAACTAATGTCAGTATGTACCAACAATAAGTAATTCATATGCAAGGTCATTGCGAATAGACTCCATGGGACGGGACTCCCATGGAGTCCTGCAGAGACTCCTTATCACCCGGCAATTTCAGAGAGTAACCACAAAAAGTGAATAATTCTGATTTGTTGCTATTTGGTTTGATGCCTTCCATGACATTCTACCATCCTAAGAATATTAGGTAAAAGAGTTGAATAAATCAATTAAAAAAAATAAAAGTCAGGAAAAAAGAAAGCAAATCAGTGCACACAAGATATAGTCAGCCTTGGAAAAAAACAGTTTATCTGGCTACCAGTGCCTCAAAAGCATTGCTTTCTATCCCCATTTTGTCCTGCTTATTGCCATTAGTACCTCTGCAATGGCAAAGCTGGTCTGGCTGATTAATAACAACATCAGACTGATAACAAGTGAGATCACAAAATAAGTATTGAACATCAAATTTACTTCAGTGCTCTGCTTGGCTACATCCTTTCCATTAAGTGCCAACCTATTTGCAGAGAGGAAATTCTGTGTGGCTGACTGTGGGAAAAAACATCTTGTTTCCCCAGAGCAGGTCTGAGGAAAATTGCCAAAACATTTCTGCTGATCTAAACAGCTGCAGTGATACCTTGTAACTGGGTGAAAGGAAAAGCAGAAAGCCACTAAGCAAATATATACACTATTAAAAAAAAAACCCATCCAAACTAGCTAAGTCTCACAACAGAAACAAGGGGACCTTGAAGTTTAGCTGGGGATGACAATTGGTCTTTATACCCAGACAGAAGCCTAGCACAGATTCTGAGCTCCTTCTCAAGTCACTTACCAGATTACAGACATATACTATATATATA